AAAGAGGAATTCTCTCCGTATGAAGGATGATCTGTGAAAAAAAAAAAAAAAAAAAGGTTTAGCTGGTGACTGCCATCTTCAAAAGAGGAATTCTCTCCGTATGAAGGATGATCTGTGAAAAAAAAAAAAAAAAAAAGGTTTAGCTGGTGACTGCCATCTTCAAAAGAGGAATTCTCTCCGTATGAAGGATGATCTGTGGCATTTTTAAAGGACTTTGCGTAAGGCTCGTCCATCATCAAACTCCAAAGAAGCCACAGAATTATTATTTTTTTGGGAGGGGGGGAGCTTCAGAGAACAGTTGTCGTATTTATAAGCACTTTTGATTAATTAAGCGGCCTACCAAAACTCTTATGATTAATTAGTAAAACTTCCGTGATGCTGCAGCAGCCTTGACAAATATTACTGTTATCTGTAATATCAGTTTATCATCCTGTCATGTCACGAGGAGTGTATTCCTTCTCGGGTGTCAAAAAAAAAACCCAAACCCCTCAGCTTTCTTCTACCTCTTCAAAGGGCATGATAAAACCCGCACGATCTCCGCAGTTATACCTTCCCCGTAATTGATCGACAGCAATATTTGTTATCGCTTATTAATTAACTGCATCTCCCTGGCCGCTTGAGAATCCTCTTCCCTAATTAATATTTATGAGGAGCTAAGCGCTATTGACACTTCCTATTAACTCAGCCTGGGAATTCAGCACTGCTTTTGCCCAGTAAATAAATTCTAAAGACGCCCTCGCCAACCCCACAGGAGGAACTCAAAAGAGATGCGTTTCTAGCACAGACTAAACCAAAGGGGAACTTGGTGTCAATAAACCATGCCCTGCTAGGGGGCGCTTTATTTGAAAGCGTGCTGATTTCGCCAAATATACCAGTAGGGGGCACTGCACTGCAAGAAAGAAAAAGCGATTTAATCTTTCCAAAAGAATGCCACCCAGTTTGATTTTAGTTGGTATTTTCCCCCAGGTGTCTAAATGGTTGCTAAAAGGGGGGAAAAAAGGATCTAAGATTCTACGGTTTATTTTAGCTATCGTCTCTATAGAATTTAGCGTTTGGGTGTGAGTTTTTAAAAGGCAGCTCGTCTACCGCTGCAAATATGGATCAAATCGTTTTAAATCAATAAATGAGGTGCTTTGGTGATTGATATTAGAAAAGATTTTTATCTTTTGGATTTTGCCTTATCCTGCCCCAAACTCTTAGCTTGAATCAGGGTTGAGTGGTTTTGATTAGAAGAGGAGGGAGAGGGAAGATGGGATGCTGAACTAGCTTTAGAAGGGAGTTTCAAGACCCCAGATCAATTTCTCACATATTTTGAAATCTGCTGTTGGACAATGTAGAATGAAGTTTCCCAAGTCTTAAGTTTAGTTTTTCTTTCTTTCTTTCTTTCTTTCTTTCTTTCTTTCTTTCTTTCTTTCTTTCTTTCTTTCTTTCTTTCTTTCTTT